GTAGGGCAAAGGAATGGAGAAAGGTGAATAAATGCAGTCATTATATACAATGTACACTATTTAAAAAATAAATTGTGTAACTTGTGGGAAGGATGGGAGGGAGAAATAGGGGAGAATGAAGTGGTGACATTGTCAAGAAGCACTGTACTCACAAACTGATTTATGGAACTGCAACCCCTTTAATATGACTATTTAATAATTAACAATAAAAGGCTAATTTTATGTCACAAAACAAAAATTAAGTCACTGAGTAAATATACCTTATTCAAATGCTGTGCTATATAACCTCTTCCACAACCAACATCCAAAGCAAGGGGGAAATTTCTAAAAAAAAAAAAAAATCAAAGTATTTACTGTCTATCTGTAATACAGCTTATTGAACAATTAAGAGATGATTTTTCTTAGATTAAAAATAATTTAAGTCAAGACATTGTTCAGAAAGTTACATCATCTGCCTTTGCTGCCTGGTCTAATAAGCTACATCTATCAGAAGTCTATAGTGATCTGTTTGATCCATTCAAATAGCACCTTATATAGAACAAGCTTTAGTGTTCATGTTGTACCACAGTGAGGCCCCTAGTACTGCAAACAAAACAAAACAGTTTATAAAAAGTGGCTCATGATATGGATTTAAAGGACAGACTTAATGAGGTTATTTTAATTCAATAAAACATGTAAATTAATCTGAGAAAACTGGCATACTTATCAGGAACTTAGTAATTATCCCTATTTCTTAAATTAGTTGAGTCAGAACACTTAGATATGTTCACATGAAATATGTTAAACTTGAACTCTCAATGACTCAGTGACAGAGCAGTGCCTAACCATATAATGTCTTGGATTTGGTCCCCTGTGTCAAGGGGGAATAAAAGGTTAAAACTTACAAAACAAAACAAAAACCAACAAGCCAAACACCAAAATAACAGATAAATTTTACTAAAAACCAAGTGTGCCAGCCAGAACGATGAATAAACCTACCCCTTACCTGAAAAAAAAAATACAAAAACAAAACAAAACAAAACTGAGTGTTCAATATGACAACTCAAGTATTTCAACCAACAGGAAGCAATTAATATGATAAATTGAGTCAGAACAATTACCTTCCATATTATGCTATCTATCTCCTCTAAATATATCACTCCATACTAAGTCAGTATAGAAATGTAGTTTTAGGCCACAGGTGTAAAGTCATTTATGACAGAAAAGTTAACAGTTTATCTACTAGTAAATTTTTTCCCCTAAAAAACTGGAACAAAAAGTCTGTTCAACTCTTTTTAAAAATGTACATCAAAATTACAGAACACCAACAGATAGATGGAAGAAACTTGGTCACAGCCATTTTTTTAAACCTAATGCCCCATACTGATTATAAACATACACAGTATAGTACTGTTATAAGTACAGGCTTTGGAATGAGAAAGGCATGAGTTCAAATTTTAGGCCTACAAGTTATTAGTCCTATGGCCTTATGTAGGTGATTTAAACTTGTTGGTTCTTCAGTGTCCTTATATACAAAATGGAAAAGCTAACTATGTCTCTCAGAGTTGGTGATAATTACATGAAATAGTACATGTAAAATATTTAGCACAGGCTAACTGTTCAATAAAATTAGTTGCTATTATCACTATTATTAAGTGGGCCTCAAATCTCACAAATAAGACATTTAAAAATCAGTTTTTAAAGCTAACAGTGTTGACAATGTAAATGACTCTTTTTTTCTGTTTGTGTCTCCTTACAATCAAGAGATGAAGACATGCATATTCTAGGCAAGTGTTCTATTGTTGGCTGGGTTTTATCTCCAGGTCTATAACGTTCTAATAGGACATCAATGCAAGGATATTTTAAACTGGCATCTCTAATAGTTTAATCTCAAACACTTCATGTTTATAACATCCTTTTAGCCATTATCACGGAAACTTGACTGCATTCTGCCCAGAGATATAGCAAAAAAAGTTCATAAAATCAAAACTAATTTGCAAAATTTAATGTTTCTTTTATTAAAGCACACATGATATATGTTTTTAATAAATTGTAAACCATATGTCATTGTTTTTTGGATCTTGCATGTCTTTATTGTGATACCAACATTTACCTGGCTATGTCATATATACGGTCTGCAATCCGACTTCCAACCTGAAAGATTACAAAAAGCAATGGCATCAATAAACTGAGAAGAACAAGAAGTAATACTTTTTTTCCCCAGTATGCAACAAAGATTTAATATAAGTATTTCCTTTTATTCCTTTTTCTATTTTTCCACAGCAACTTACTTTACAAATAAATAGAAACATACTAAAATATACCAGAAAATAATCTGAAGCAAATTACTTAATTAAGCAGTTAATTAATGAAGCAAATTATTTAATAAAGACTGAACAATAAGTATACACATATGTCTACACACATATACAAATTTCACCTAGACTAAGTTTATGTGATATAAGATCATAAATATGAAAAAAGAAAAGTGTCTCACACTTGTAACCCTAGCTACTCAGGTGGCTGTGATTTGAGGTCTAATTTCGAAGCTAGCCGGGGCAGGAAAAGTCCATGAGACTCTTATCACTGATTAACCACAAAAAAGCTAGAAGTGGACCTGTGATAGAGGGCTAGCCATGAGCAAAAGAAGCTCAGGGACAGAGCTAAGGCCCTGAGTTCAAGCCCCAGGACCTGCACAAAAGCAAAAGAATGAAAGAATGAACGAAAGAAAGAGGAAGAGAGAGAGAGAAAGAGAAAGAGAGATGAAGAAGGAAGGGAGGGAGGGAGGAAGAAAGAGAGAAAGAGAAAAGAGGAGAGAGGGAGAGGGAGAGGGAGGAAGGAAGGAAAGAAGGGAAAGAAAAGTTAACAGGAACATAATAAGTACATTATTGCTCACATATATTCATTTAAGACATGTTAAAGGAAAAACGTCTTAGTTAGCTAAGGTTTACTACAGATCAATACAAACATGGTCAGTTAATAAAAATTCACTCACAAATTTTGTGAAACTCCTATTTTCCTAAAATACAAATCAGATCACCTTACAACTTACAGCCACTCAAAAGTCTCTCACATTTTTCTAGGTACTCATGGTGCTTGCTATCCAAAATCAGTGAACACTATGAGAAATTTTTTTAAGTTATACAATATTTTTAGAGGAAAACAAGGGAAATCAATCTTAAAATATATTCATTTTTTTCTTTTTTGAGAAAATGTTTCACTGTGTACCTAGCTGGTCTCAAATTCACAATCCTGCTCCTGTCTCCTGAGAGCTAGGAGCCCAGGCAGGTGCCACTACAAGTGGCCTGGATGAACAGCTTTTTCGAGTGGTACTTGCAAATTAGTAGAAGAAACTAAACCTCAAGAAAGTCCACCATTACCCAAATTCTATCCCAGTCTAAAAGAGATCACAATGCAAAACCTCCTTTTACTGGACTAGCTTCATCAACAAAGATGTGGGCATCTAATATCCCCCATATTCTACTCATTCTACTCATCACAGAGTTGCCACTGGGACCTGTCAGTTCAGAACTCTGCCTTTACTTCTGGTAAGAAAGGAGATAAAATAGTACTTTCTCAGAGGTGATGGTCACTCTGCAATCATTCCTATACCAGTAACTTTTGTTTATTAAAAGAAGATCTCACAGAATCGTATCTCATCTATCATAATTCTGCACATTGGCAAGGCTTCAGTCAAGTTGTAATCCGAATGTTTTTCTTGTGGGGTGGGAGAAGAGTGGCGCCAGGAAGGAAATCTCCTAAGTACATAACACCATGAACTTTGCAGAAGGAAACCAGCAACTGGTAGGATCAGAATAGTGTGTACAGTGTGTTGCCAATGGGATACCCACAATGTATAAAGTTGACTTCCTATCTCTGCCATAGACTTTATCAGCTTCTTAGTTGTTTGAAGGTAAGGATTTCTGAGGTCTGACACACTGTCAGTTGTCATCAGGCTACTGACTTGTTCAAAGTAGCAGCTCAAAAACATTAGCTCCATTAGCTCGGAAAATCTTATTATACTTGACTTCAGTTTTGCTGTTCCCCTGAAGAAATATCCACCGGGATTTGAGTTCTGTGCTGCAGTTTCACTCAGGCCCCTACAAACAAGGTCCTCTGGGTCTCTGGGACTTTGTCCTGGTCTTTCCTTGTTCTTAGGAAGGCTCCCGCCACCTTTCATCTCTTGGCTAGTTGTCTCACCACGCCGCCCGGGCATCACCGTCACTAATAATATCCCTTCATTTCCCCTCACCTTCCTATGTTTGAGCTGAAATGACATTTCCCTGATGATGTCAGTCTGCTATGTCCTCCCCCGACTTCCTGAAAGCCGTTAAGGGTAAGGGTCAAGCGAGAACCCGGCTATACCATGAACTCAAGCTATGTTTGCTAAGTTGGATGAATGAATGAATGAATGAATAGCATGTTAGCCTTCCAGCGATAACTGTCGAAGGCCACGGAGGCAAAGCTTCAGCTCCAGGCCTCGCAGACAGGAGAAGCCGGCGGGGCGCCGCAGGAGCTCCCGGCCGGAAGTGGGGTCCCGGCGCCCGCCCCGCCGGAGGCGCCCGCCCCGCCGGAGGCGCCCGCCCCGCCGGAGGCGCCCGCCCCGCCGGAGGCGCCCGCCCCGCCGGAGGCGCCCGCCCCGCCGGAGGCCCCCGCCCCGCCCCGCCCCGCGCCTCACCTCCTCCTTCAAGTAGTCAAACTTCATCGGCTCGGGCAGCCGGGCCGCCCAGTTCTTCTGCTTCCTCTTCAGGTCCCGATCGAAGATATTTAGGGCTCTAAACACGGTCCCACCGGAGGGAGGGACACCAGAAGTGACCTGCCGACGACCGCCATCCCTAGAGGGGATATCAGGCGTCCCAAGCAGCCGCCAGAAGCGGCGAATCCCAACTCTCCTCAACATCTCCCGCCGCCGAGCAAGCCGCGCAAGCGCGCGGTCGTGCGCAGGCGCCGGAACGCGTACGGCAAGCGCAAGGCTACGAAGAGCATTCTGCGAGAGGGAGGACGCTGGAGGTCGTTTGGCCCCGTTCGCGTGCCGTTCTGGCGAAGCGTCTCGCGGAGGATTGTGGGTGCGAGTCCACGTGAGTCTGCGCGAGGAGTCCGCTGGGGTGAGTAGCGGGGGGAGAGAGCTCAGGAAGAGGAGCTCGGGGGCGAGTTCGCCTCTGAGGAGGCCTCTCCGAGACTGCTGAAGGGTGACCCTCCTTCTCCTTCGCTTTGCTGGCCTTATTCAGACTTCCTCAGGGCTTTTCCCAGGGTCCGAGAGTGGGTGGACTTCCGGGGGGAGGGAACGCGTGCTGCGGCGTCTCCGCTGCTCTCAGTCACAGCGTTACCTCTGATCAGTACATCACGGAGGCTGTGTGTGTGTGTGTGTGTGTGTGTGTGTGTGTGTGTGTGTGTGTGTGTGTTCTCAGTCACAGCGTTACCTCTGATCAGTACATCACGGAGGCTGTGTGTGTGTGTGTGTGTGTGTGTGTGTGTGTGTGTGTGTGTGTGTTCTCAGTCACAGCGTTACCTCTGATCAGTACATCACGGAGGCTGTGTGTGTGTGTGTGTGTGTGTGTGTGTGTATGTGTTCTCAGTCACAGCGTTACCTCTGATCAGTACATCAGGGAGGCTGTGTGTGTGTGTGTGTGTGTGTGTGTGTGTGTGTGTTCTCAGTCACAGCTTTACCTCTGCGTACTGATCAGTACATCAGTGAGGCTTTGACTCTGGTGACTGTGTGTGTGTGTGTGTGTGTGTGTGTGTGTGTGTATGTATGTATGTGTGTTCGTGTGTGTGTGTGTTCTCAGTCACAGGCTTTACCTCTGCGTTCTGATCAGTACATCAGTGAAGCATTTGACTCTGGTGACCGTGTGTGCGTGTGCACGTGTGTGTGTGTGTGTGTGTGTGTGTGTGTCTTCTCTCACAGTCACAGGCTTTACCTCTGATCAGTACATCAGTGAGGCGTTTGACTCTGGTGACTGTGTGTGTGTGTCTTCTCTCACAGTTACAGGTTTTACCTCTGCACACTGATCAGTACATCAGTGAGGCTTTGACTCGTGTGTGTGTGTGTGTGTGTGTGTGTGTGCGTGTGCGCCAATGTAGGAACCTTGTGTGTGTGTGTGTGTGTGCACGCGCGCGCAAATGTAGGAACCTTGCCCACTGGGCTATATGGTGAGGCTGGCTCCCCCCCCCCCCAAATAAATAAATAAAGCAGTTCTGTCCAGCTGGGTCAGTCTCTTTGGGGCTTGCTTTATTTTATTTTTGTTTTAGTTTGTTTTTATTCTCGAGTTTGCTAGGCAAGCTCTTTTACCTCTGATCCACCACGATGCCAGCCCTGTTTTTGTTTTTGTTTCTGTTTTTTTTTTCTCTAAAAAAAATAAATCTCTTGGCTAATCATTTTGACATAGGGGAAGGAGGGGAGGTGCTCCAGGCATCTGCTGTCCTCCGGTGTTAGATTGTCTGCTGTCATGAGGTTAACACACAGGTTGGCTTTTAAAATCAGATTTTAGGCTTTTGGCAGCATTCAAATCCCATGGAAGCCAAACCATCAGAGACTCTTTAGAAGGGCATGATAATTAATACACATAAACCTATATAGTTTTGTAGGATGGGGTCTTTGATGCCTTATTACTTATAGAATAGCTAATTCTTTAAAAGGGGGAAGGGCGATATGTGTTAAGTGGAAAGAGTCTTTAGTTAGTTCCTGACAGATCGGAAGATTTAAAGAAGGAACTTTCTGAAATAAGTCTGGTTTGGTTTTGGTCTCTGGTTAGGAGATTAACTTTGTAGGACTTGTGTTAGGAGTACTAGGAGGTAAAGAGCATTCCGAAACAAATTATATAAACTGAGGTTTGGTGTATTTTTCTTTTCTTCTTTTTTTTCTTTTTCTTTTTTTTTGGTCGGTCGTGGGGCTTGAACTCTGCTCCTAAGCTCTGACCCTCAGCTCTTCAGCTCAAGGCGAGCACTCTACCACTTGAGCCACCGGGCCACTTCTGGTTTTCTGAGTGGTTTATTGGAGATAAGAGTCTCACGGACTTTCCTGCCCGGGCTGGCTTTGAACCTCGATCCTCAGATCTCAGCCTCCTGAGTAGCTACAATTACAGGTGTGAGCCACCAGTGCCCGGCTTTTTTTTTATTTTGGCAGAGTGTTGAGGCAGGGTATCACTAAATAGTCCAGGCTAACCTGTGATTCTATCTGTAGCCCACACTGCTGTGCAACTCACTATCCTGCTTTTGTATTATAAATGCTAGGGTTTCATGTGTGGACCTCCATCCTTGGTTTTTTGGTAGTGCTTTTAAAATGCATTTGCTTTTAACTTAACAGCACTACAGAAATATAGATAGGCATATAGAAATTCTAAGAGAGTTTAATAGGCTACTAGCCATATCCATAAAACCCTGGGGTTCTGCTTGATATGCCTTAAATTTATTTCTCCAAACAGAAGAGAGAACAGTTTGCTGTTTTTGCTTTTTTGCATGTGACCCAGAATAAGTTGGGGAGATGAAGTTGAACTTCACTTCCCTTTATTTTACATACATTTTACACATAATGTATTGTGAGTTAATACACTTTTTAAATCTCCTAATTATGTTACTAATTGTTCATTGTCCTAACATTGTTTTATTTTTTAGTATTTGGTTTCTTCAGTAAGATTTCAAAATGTCATCCAAACAAGAAATAATGAATGACCAGCGCTTTAGGCGGGTTTCAAAGGATCCTAGATTTTGGGAAATGCCTGAAAAGGATCGAAAAGTCAAGATTGACAAGAGATTTCGAGCCATGTTTCATGACAAAAAATTTAAGTTGAACTATGCTGTTGACAAAAGAGGGCGGCCCATCAACCATAGCACTACCGAAGACTTAAAACGTTTCTATGACCTATCAGATTCTGATTCCGATCTCTCTGATGAAGAAGGCAAAGTATTGAACCAAAAGAAAATAAAGAAGAAAACTCAAACCAGTAAAGAAATTAGTTCACAGAATTTGACTGAAGAACAAAAGAAAGAAATTAAGCAAACGGACCAAAAGGATTCTGTAAATAAAAATGATTTAGATAATTCTAAAAAATATCAGAAAATGAAAAACTTATGTAAATCGAAGAAGATAGATTCAGAAATAAGTCCCAAGAAGAATAGTGGTGAATTTACACAAAAAAGCACAAAAGAGAAAAGAAATACTGAACATAGCACAGACACCTTTCCCAAAGGAAAACTCAGGACAGCAGACTTGAGCAGCTCTGAAATTGTGAAATGTCCTATGATCAGTTGTAACAAGACAAAAAGAGAAAAACAATCAGGTTGGTTGAAAATAATGATTCTTTGGTGTTATGGTATTTTTAAACTAGTGCTAAAAAGAACAAAAGGTATAATAATTATTTTCATAGTATCTTGAGATGGCCAAATGCTTATTTGGAAATACTATAGGAGGAAAAATATACAGTGATTATTTTTGATTTGGCACTGAAGGACATAAAAAATTGAATCTAAATGATTTTAACTTGCAGTGCACTTTAGTGAGAGCTATATTCTATAACCAGATAAAGTTTTACATATTGTCATCACATGATAAGAAATGTCTGAAGAAGTTAAGTAGAATTGGGTACTCATTCGTTAGTTCATTTCGCTCTTCAGTAACTAAATATATACTAGTACATATTTAATATAATTAAATTAATAAATAGTATATATTTTCTTCTTCCCCCTGCCCGTAACATTGTGTATTGGTTCAATTTGTAATGGCAGGAAACAGTAATGGAAAGATGTTTGATGAAGAGTCTGTGGAGGAAGATTCAGACAGTATGAGTGAAATAGGAAGTGATGAGGAATCTGAAAATGAAATCACAGGTGGTGGTGGAGCTTCAGCTGATGATGATGAAAGTGAAGTTGATGAAGAGGAAGAAGAAGACAGTGAAGATGATGATGAAAGTGACAGTGGCCCTGATCTTGCAAGGGGGAAAGGAAATATTGAAACTAGTTCTGAAGATGAAGATGATTGGGCTGATATATTTCCTGAAGAACCTGGCTTTGAGCATGCTTGGAGAGAATTAGATAAAGATGCTCCTCGAGCTGATGAGGTAACCTTTTGGATAGATTATTTATGAATAACATAGTACCATTAGTTATAATAACAGATGGTAGGATTTTGATGTCAGTAAATAAATGGGAAGAGACTAGTGGTGTTGCTTAGTGGGCGAATATTTACCTAGCATGTATAAGGCCCTGGATTTGATCCCTAGCACCCCCACTACCCCCCGCCAAAAAAAAAAAAAGCATGAAAACTATTAATAAAATATTGGTTAGGGGCCAGGAAGGTGGCTCAGTGGTAGAGTGATTGCCTTGCATGCATGAGGCCCTGGGTTCAATTCCTCAGTACCACATAAGCAGAAAAAGCTGGAAGTGGCGCTGTGGCTCAAGTGGTAGAGTGTTAGCCTTGAGCTGAAGGGCTGAAGGATAGTGTCCAAGTCCAGAGTTAAGGCCCCGTGACTGGCAAAAAAAAAATACACACACACACACACACACACACACATGTATATATATTTTGGTGATCACTGAGTCACATTCTCCAGCCTCTGGTAATAATGTTTTTGATGATTCTGATTTAAACTTACTGATAATGGGGGGGAAAATATATACATAAAAATGTTTGACTTTATATATATGCATATATATATATGTACACCTATAATATAATATACTTTAACTCAAAGTCACATGAAATTTTTAGCTGGTAGTTTACATTTCTGTTTCTGTGAACCTTGCTTCTCATGCATGGGTGGCAGAATAGCTAAGCAAAGGTAGTAGTTAAAAAGTTACCTCTTACTGGGTGCTGGAGGCTAATGCCTGTAATCCTAACTACTCAGGAAACAGATCTGAGGATCATGGTTTGAAGCTAGCCCTGGTGGGAAAGTCCCTGAGACTCTTTATCTTCAATAAACAACTCAGAAAAAACAACTTAATAAAAAACTCAGAAGTGGCACTGTCACTCAAGTGGTAGAGCACTAGCCTTGAGCATAAAGCTCGCAGACAGAGCTCAGGCCCTGAGTTGAAGACCCAGGACCCGCACAAAAAAAAAGTCACCTTGTGATAATAGTCTTAACCAAGATCTAAGAGAAAGTATTTATCTATATGGTTTTATTATTATTGGGCTCATTTGAAGTTCTCCTGTATGTGAAATTTTTACATAATATACTAGTAAACTTTATACTTTGGGGAAAAATTACATTTTTTAATTTTTAATTTTCAAAGCACTGAAATGGCATGAACACATAGTATTTAATATTCTTCCTTTCTCAGATTACACGTCGATTAGCAGTTTGCAACATGGACTGGGATAGATTAAAAGCAAAAGATTTATTAGCTCTGTTCAATTCATTTAAACCGAAAGGAGGTGTTGTATTTTCTGTAAAGGTAAGAATTGATTTCATTTGGAGGTAAATATTTCAAGACATTTAACCTAAATCTAACTTTTAAAAAAATCTTAAAACAGCCCGGCACCAGTGGCTCACAACTGCAATGCTAGCTATCAAGAGGCTGAGATCTGAGGATTGCAGTTCAGAACCATCCTGGGCAAGAAAGTGTGAGACTCTTATCTCCAATGATCCGCCAGGAAACTGGAAGTGGCACTGTGACTCAAAGTAGTAGAGTATTAGTCTTGAGTGCAAAAGCTCAGGGATAGGGCCTGAGTTCCAAGCCCTACAACTGAAAAAAAAAAAAATCTTAAAACTATAACTTTGTTTTTAAAGAAAGTAATTAATTTTGGAATGGTCTAATGGGCATGAAATAGGTATAAGTATTAGAAATGGAGAGGTAGATTATTATTGGTAGGTCATACGTTTTTGAACATACTTTGAAATTGCAAAGAAAGCCAAGTGTGGTGATCCATACCTGTAGTACCAGCACTTGACTAGAATACAGAGATCATGAATTTGTAAAGTACCAGCACTTGACTAGAATACAGAGATCATGAATTTGAGGCCAGCTGGGGTTCAAAGCTAAGCTGTCTTAAACAAAAGCAAACAACCCTAAAATGACAAAGTACAGTAAAAAAAAAAAAGTACAGTAAAAAAAAGAAATGATTCAATACATTAGCAAGAGAAATATGGAATTTTAGGGAATTATTGTAGCATATGTATGAACATGAAATAAACTATCATTCTTACAAGTTACAAGCCAGTATAATGATTAAGAATCTAGGCTTTGCATTATGACAGACTTAAGTTTTATGTTGATTTTCATAAATGTTGTATAATCTTGGCTACTTTATTCATTTCTTAAGTGGTTTTTAATTGACAAATAGATGTAGCAGTAGTACTTCCTATGGTGTCTATGAGAATTAAATGAAAAGCAACTCATATTTAGGTATATATTTAGCAGAGTCCTTGAAATAGTTCTCAATTATTATTCTGTGTAAATATTTTTAAATGTTCTATAATTTTTTTTTGTCCAAGACCAGGACTTGAACTCAATAGCTAATGCTTGCTTTTGCTCATTGACGGGTGCTGTATGACTTGAGGCTTGCCTCCAACCCCCACTTATGTGATTTATTGCAGTTCTTAGTAAAATTCCAATTAAAATGAAGGTTAAGAAAAAGGATACCAGTATACATCTAAAAGAATAAGCAAAATTAGTAAATCTTTATGAAATGCCTGTGTAAAAGGACCCACTCCCACCAAAAAAAGGAAATGTCTCACCTGTGTATAAACATTTTATGATCCTATGAGAATTCAAAGGTTTGGAAGGAAATGGCATAATTCATGGGGTAGAATAAGTAAGTGCACATGATAATTTAGACCAAAATAAAGCTCTTAAATATGTGTTGTTGGGACAAATGGATATGATATTATGTAGACACCTTAGTTCAGGTAATGACCAAATATGCCCCACGATAAACTTCAGAATGAAGCAAACCACAGAAACAGGATAACCAAAGGAAATGTATTTTGTTAATCAGGAGATGAATAAGCACTTCTACATCAGAAAAAAAAATTATGATCAATATAGGACAACATATATACTTGAAACTTCTGTATCAACCTATTATAAAACTCAACTGTTGGAGTTTGGAGTGTGGTTTAGTGGTAGAGTGCTTGCCTAGCATGCATGAAGCCCTGAGTTCAATTCCTCAGTGCTACATAAACAGAAAAGGCCACCTTCGCTCAAGTGATAGAATAAAAGAAGGGATAGTGCCCAGGCCCTGAGTTCAAGCCCCATGACTGGCAAAAACAAAAACCTCAAATATTCCTGCTAGGTGCCAGTGGTTCATACTTAGCTCATAATCTTAGCTATTCCAGTGGCTGAGATCTGAGGATTGCAGTTCAAAGCCAGCCCAGGCAAGAAAGGAAGTCCATGAGATTCTTATTCCCAGTTAATCATCAAAAAGCTGGAAGTAGCACTGTGGCTTAAGTGTGAGAGCACTAGTTTTGGCACAGAAATTCAGAGACAGTGCAAAGAGGCTGAGTTCAAGCCACAGGACTGGCACAGAAACAACAACAAAAGACAAACCTCAAATACTCTTGATAAATTACGTATTCAGACAACTGGAAAATATATTAATGAGTATATATTTAAGCTCATCAGTATCAAAGTGTTAATGTAATTGCTTTTTTTTCCTCTGAAAGTAGATACCATAAAAAATGCTAAGCCCACTGAAAGTGATTCACTTTTTAAAATATCTATACGGTAAGATTGTCATCAGTTTTGTTTCTTATTACGTGGAGAATTTCTATTAAAACCAGTTGAGAAATACTGTGATGTAGATATAAAATATAAAATTGGGTATTATAAAATTGGTTTTGCTATGGTTTATGTATTTTTTTAAGTGGATTTTGTGTAAATCATTTAAACAAGTCGTTTTTTTCCCTTATATTTATAGTTTCTTAAACTTTAAATCTTGTTTGGTTTTTCTTAATTTTTCCTTTGGATACCGGAACCATCTCATTCTGGTTAGTACGTGAAGGAAACAATCAATTTTTGTTCATAAGTCCCACATCTGTTACTCTCTAGCCAAAATGACTTATTTTAAAGGAAATTCCTCAAGATTCTTTAGCTTCCTGAGTTTAGAAGTGAGTTTTACTTTCCTGAAGTGAGTTATCGTCATTGAGTCAGGTTTTTGACCCTTGGCCTGATCTTCACAAGTCTGCCTATTGTGTGAAAAGAATGTACATATCATGTCAGTGTTATCTTTTTGTGTTTAGATATATCCTTCCGAGTTTGGAAAAGAGAGGATGAAGGAAGAGCAAGTTCAAGGACCAGTAGAATTACTAAGTATTCCTGAAGATGCCCCTGAAAAGGACTGGTATTGAATTACTATAGAACATAAGTTGAAACCTTATGAATTCATGTCATAATTTAGATTTCTGGTTACCTGAATAGAATTAAGCTTGCATTTATACCATTTATGATCCAAGTAGTTCATAAAACAGTATGTCAAAGTGGCACTTTGAACAACATTTATATATTCTTCAAATGTGTATATTCTTGAAAATATTTGTTGAAGTTTTTGAAGTATTTCAGAATTAAAGAGATTTAAAATTTTCTCATGTTCAGTTCCCTGATTTTTATTGAATTTTTTTCTTATTTGAGGATTAAATAGCAAAATGGCAGAATCAAAAGGTTCTTTTATCATCATAGTACAGTATAGAAAAAAAAATTTAAAGATACTTTTTGAACCACTAGGTGGAGCTCTCTGTACACTTAGTGAAAATTATGATCAAGTTTGTGGTAGGGGAAGCAAATGATTCTGGAGCAAATATTTTGTAAGATTAAGAATTTCTTTGTGGATAGAGCTATTCCTTCCACGTGTATGTTATAATGCAATGTTTGGTCTAGAGGTTTTACTTGAAAATGCTGTATGTGATAGCAAAGCAAACAAAAAATAAAATAACTTCTAAGAAATAGGGTAAAAGGTTAGGTATATGGAATTCTCATTTTCCTTTTGTAGATAACTTAATTCCAGTCCAAACACTAAAAATCTATACCTGTTAGAGTTAAAAAAAAAAAAATGAGGTTGGCTATTTTTTGGTCATAAGGCAAAACCCTGAAGGGAAGCAAGATGTCTTGAAGGCTAGCTTGTAGTAATAATAATAATATAAAAATATGCATAGGTATATATTTTTATTGTATTTTATTTTTAAGTTTTTATATTTAAGTATTAACGTCTTTTTTTTTTTTCTGTCGGTGGTGGAACCTAAACCCTGGGCCTGGCTGGGAACTGTTTCTCAGCAATTTAGCTCAAGGCTAGTACTCTACCACTTGAGCCACAGCACCACTTCCGGCTTTGTCTGCCTATGTGGTGCTGAGGAATCAAACCTAGGGCCTCATGCATGCTAGGCAAGCACTCTACCACTGAACCACCTTCCCAGCCTAATATTACATATTTTAAAGAATTACTTTTTGTTTTTTCATGCTAGGGATTCGATGTAGAACTTCATACATTATTTTTATTTTTTTTTAAATGGGAGGTAGATTTTTCTGTTCCTATATAACTTAAGTTTAATGAGTTCTTCTTCCCTAGGGCCTCTAGAGAAAAGCTGAGAGATTATCAATTCAAACGTCTGAAGTATTATTATGCAGTAGTAGACTGTGATTCACCTGAAACAGCAAGTAAAATTTATGAGGACTGTGATGGTCTGGAATTTGAAAGCAGTTGTTCTTTTCTAGATCTAAGGTAATCCAGTTGTTACTAGCTGAATCTTACAATGATTGTTAAGAATTAAAATATTTGCATAGTGCTCTATATTGATTTTTATTCTGAAATAATCATTTGCTTTCTAAGAAGAAAAATAAGAAAATGTAAATTATGCATAATTTATTACCGTAGTTATGATCTTTTAAACGTGTCTGTATTTTTTAAGGTGATGTGTTATATGCAATATATATTTACAACTATCTTAGACTTAGGTACTAGAAGAAATAATTTGACAAAAGCCTTAAAGTAGGGGGAAAGGCATTTGCTAGTCACTGGTATTTCAAGATCTGTGCTGTCCAAAACAGTAGCCACTGGCCAAAATTGTTTTCAGCAAGTGCTAGGTCTTCACTGACCCAGCGCTGAAGAGCCTTAGATGGCTGTGAATTTCAATTCTAAGGAAACAGGAAACTGAACTGCTGTACCATTTTATCATCATAAGTAGTCCTTTTGAATCCTTAAACCATCCCACTGTGATGTGGAATAGGAAGCATTATTTAGATGTAGATGTGTTGAGGCTTTGTTCTCAAAATGAAATACTTCAGGGAGAAAAAAAAATGCATCATTTCATAGTTGCTTTAAAGAGATTCAGACTTTAGAAAAATTACCAAAAAGTATTATAATTGGGTATAAGATTTTATTAGTATGCTTAAATTTATTGCAAGAATGGCATGATCTCATCAGACAAGCTGTTTCCTTCTCTTTTCGGTTAAAAATGTCAATAGAGGGTTTTTGTTTTGATTGTTTAAATTTGTTAGATTATTTATTTATTTATTATAAATTGATGCTGACTTGTTTTTAGGACTGTTTTGTTCTGTTTCCTTCTGGAGACGTTTCCATCTAGTGTTAAAGTAAGCTCTTGGGTACCTTGATCATGGGAAAATGTTCCCTTCTCTGTTACATTTTGTTGTACATAATAGTACAAGGACAAAAAGAAAGAAATTGAATTTTCTGCTGCTATTTATCTGTAGAAACTTTTTTTTGTTTATCTAAAAATATGTATAAAAGCAAATGTAGCATTAAAAAATAGATCTCAGATATTTTCTTCTACTATGTCTGTGCAAAAGTGTCTCTATAGAAGGATTTACGCATCCCTGTTAACACTAAAACAATATTTTATAAAATTATATTATTTTCATGTATGTGTAAAGTCTCTTACATAAATTATAAACCTAAATATAATAATGGTGTGTTGGGTTTTTTTCCTATTCCCTATCCTGATGACTGAAAATTGTGAGATACTGTGACTAATTTACACTGAAAAGCTACTTATTTGTGAAATAAATTATAAGGTTATATTAAGACTTTGGGGTGTCTTAAATAAACCTTGAGCTTTTATTTTCAATGACATTTCATGTACATATGCTTTGTGTTCAAAACACTGAATTATTAAATCACTTTGATCTTCAGAGTGTCATAAAGCAAGCCAGTGAATGCACCATTAGGAATCTGGATGTTTTTGAGACATGGTAGATCTTGTGTGCTTGCACTTCACTTATACTGTCTCCTAAGACAAGGATTCTATCTATGTATTGTTCTCTTGAATTTAGTGGAATTTCAGACTCATAATTTATGAATTTTAGAAAAAATTTTTACCAAGATTATTTCTAATGCTGTTTGCCTCTCTACATGTGTGTTCTGTAGAAACTTATATGGTGTGTATGGATGTATTTGTAAACCATAACTAATTAGTAAAGAATATAAACTCTTGTTTATCACTGCAGCATATGTTTAAATAAATATATATTTTCTTTATGTCTTAGGTTTATACCAGATGATATTACTTTTGATGATGAGCCCAAGGATATAGCTTCAGAAGTGGATTTAACAGCATATAAACCAAAATACTTCACATCTGCTGCAATGGGAACATCAACGGTACTTTTTAGCTTTTAAACATGTGGAGCTGTTTCTGTTGCTTTAAGAAGAGATGTGTGCATTATTTATTTACAGGATCTTTAAAGATGGACAGTATTTAAAAATTTAATGCACAAATGGAAATGAGACAAATATACATATGTTATTTACCACAGATGTTAAAGTTGACTTCCAGATTCTTATGCCATTAAGCCTGACTTGGTTGTCTATTAATATTTCTTTTTTCTTTTCTGTCTTGCCCACACAGTATTCAACTAGATCCCTTGAGGATGAGATAATTTTAGTGGTAGAGCACTTGCCTAAAATGTGGATGTCCAGTGTTTGATTTCCCAGCACCACAAAAGAAAGAATACCAAAACCACTCTAAACAATTGTATTCTTTAATAAGTTATTAATATCTTTGGACATAAGGAAAAGAAGTAACAGGTTCCTTCAGTTGTCAGTTAAACAAAACTAGTGAAAATTTAGAAAAGCACACATTTTTCAACAGATAGGATAAAAAAATTAAACTATAGAAGTAGACTTAATTCAGGATTATTAGTTTTCATAATCTTAACCAAGTACCTAGGAGGTTTCTTTGTTTTGAAATAATTTGTTACTTAGCAGACTGGCTTCTGTCTTCTTTACCTTAAACTACTACCCACAGCTGTACTCTGCACATTGGCTTTCCCTTGCCTTTTTTGAGTTGACAGACCTCTGCTCTTCTGAGATGAGGGGTGGCCGAGAAACTGATTCTTCAGTGTGGTGGGTCCAGTGTAGTAGTGATTCATTAATGAGTGTAGTAAAAAAAATCCTGTTTTTATGCAATAAGTCAATTCTAAAAGATTCAGATATATAAAATGTAAGATCATGGTACTTTCTACACTGAAGTACTCACTAGCCAGGCAAGTCTTGAGTTGCTGAGTCCTGGCTGTGTCCTCAATACCTGTTCTGCTTCTAGCAGCAGTTTAGTGGATATTAGTTAGCAGAATAGGAACAATTGTAGATCCTGTAACTAGCTGGAATGTCTAAGACAGTGGTAATAATTTTAAGAATCTCTTGGTTAATTGGTACCTATTCATTGTCCTTATCTGGGGAAGTTGGTATTAGGAGAAAAACGGAGACTAGAGACCCACCCTTTGGTGAATCTAAAATCTTTAGCAGGCTGGTACTGTGATTCAAGCCTGTAATCTTAGCTACTTGGGAGGTAGAGATAGGATTGCAGTTAGTTGGAGCATACACATAAAAGTTTGTAAGACTGTCAACTAATGACTGGGCATGATGGTGCGTATCTGTTATCCCAGTTGAGGGAGCGAGAGAAAAGGCTAAATGCAACGGCTTGTGCCTCTCTTCTCCATTGACATGGCCAAGCACACAGAGGAGGATCATAGCCCCGACCAGTCCTGCCATAAAGTGAGATCTTACCTGGAAAATAACAATGGAAAAAGGGAAAAGAGATGTAGCTCAAGTGGTAGAGTATCTGTCTGGCAAGCTCAAGTCCCTGAGTTCAATCTCCAATAACACAAGGGGAAAAGTAGGAAATGCAAAAACCTGAATGGAGGACAGGAGCCATGTTATGCATGAATTTGACTATCGTGGGGGTTTATTGTACTTCTGTCCAATAGATATCTTTCTCATTTATGGCTCTTAATCTTTTTTGGAAAATTAAACACACTGAAATTGAAATGTTGTTTCACTGACCTATTTCATAGTTTGTGAATCACCTGTAGAACTCAAGATAAAAGCATGTTTTTTTGGTTGATAATAATGTTAACTTTTTCAACAGTACATTTTCCTATTTTTTTCCAGCACAATTAATCCACATACTCTATTATGACCAATGATGGAATATTAAGAGGAAAAGAAAGATATAAGTTAATAAAAATGTTTCCTTTTCCATAAATAGGATACTGCTTATTAACTGTATTATTCATGTATTTGTTTCAGGCTATGTTAACTTTTTTTTGTGTTTTTTTTTTTGTTTTTTTTTTTGCTAGTGTGGGGCTTGAACTCTGGGCCTGGGCACTGTCCTTGGGTTCCTTTGCTCAAGGCTCGTACACTTGACCCACAGTGTCATTTCTGGCTTTTTCTTTGACTAATCAAAGAGTCTCAGGGACTTTCCTGACTGGTCCAGCTTCAAACCTCCAATCATGGCCGCTTGAGTAGCTAGGAATACAGGCATGAGCCACTGGCGCCTGGCTTGTTTTCACTTTCTAAAGTTACTGTTAAGTATCCAAGTTAACAGTAGGTATTCTTTAATAGGCATAAGTTGTTGACATTTCTGGGTCATTTTTGTGTGTCTGTTTCCTTCATTCAATGGTAAAAGGTGGAGATCACTTGGGATGAGACTGACCATGAAAGAATCACAACACTTAACAGAAAGTTTAAAAAAGAAGAGCTTTTGGACATGGATTTTCAAGCCTACTTAGCTTCCTCTAGTGAGGAGGAAGAGGAGATAGAAGAGCTACAAGGTATTTGTTAATCTTTTAGTGACTTATTAATGCAAATATGTCTTTGTAAGTTAAGAGAAAAACCAAATGAATTCTTAAGAGGTCTGCCAAGTATAATTTGTATACATAGACATGCTGGAAAAAAATTTTAAGCCATGGGTTATACCGTGGGGGAGGGACATACAAAGCAACATAGAAATCATCTTATAAATATGTTAGAAACAGTTGCATGAAAGGAAAAAAAAAAAAACAAAAAACATTGGAATACTTACCTTGGGGTTCATTCCCCTAACATCAACTTATCTGACCATGCTTTTGTTGTATTTGATATTGGTATAATTTGTGGAGGGGAAGGGAAAAAACAAATCATTTAACTAGGGATACAGGTGGACCCATTGCAACAATGAGATGTACAAGTCGTTATGTCGAAAAACTTTACAACTTTGGTGGGGGGGGGGGATGGGAAGGGATAGGAAGGAGAAACAGAGGAGGCGGCAATGCTTGATAAGAAATGAACTTGTTATCTTGCCCATGTAATTGTAATTCCTCTGTATGGTATTCTCACAATAAAAAAAAAAAAAATTAAGTCAATCTATCCCCCATGGCTGGTGTTCTACCATTTGAGCTATACCTCTACTTCTGGCTTTTTGCCAGTTATCTCCAATTAACAGCCAAAATAGAGGCATGGCCAGAAGAATAGAGTGCTATCCTTGAGTAAAAAAGCCAAATAAGCCATTTGCTGGTGGCGCACATCTGTAATGTTAGCTACTCAAGAGGCTGAGATCTGAGGATCATGGTTCAAAGACTTGAGACTCTTATCTCCAGAAAACAGGACGCGGAGCTGTGGCTCAAGTACTCAGCCTTATAAAGAGCTCATGGACAGCTCCCAGGCCTTGAGTTCAAGCCCCATGACTGACAAAAAAAATAAGAAACATGAGTCCCTGAGTTCAAGCCTTCTATCTTGCACATGTAAAAGCTTAGAAGAAAGTAAGAATAGGAAGAAAATTTTGGATGCAGTTTACTGAGAGAGTGCTTGTCTAGTATGTAGGACACTTTGAGTTCAATCTTCAGCAGAACACACATACAAGTAGGAAGAAAGAAAAGGATTGAAAGGTAGTTAATATGCTATATGCTACTTTTGAATTAATTTTACTTCCATATGAAAACACCCACAAAAAACAATGCATTTGACTTGTTAATCATATGTACTCAAAATTTCAGAACTACTCTCAAGATCTCACACAGAAAAAGAAATTGTTTCTGTGTATTTTAACTCTTACTTGAAGATCAGAACCACCCAAAAGTATACTAGGTAACAGTCAATCCAGAATGTAAACCTGCTATTTAGAGATTCTGTGACTCCTGCAATCTGACGGGAAAGGTCCAAGTATGTATCTTCCTCCAAGACTACCCTAGCTGGATGTGTTATTCTTCTAGAACTTGCTCAGTTTCCTCAAGAAAAGTGAAAAATTCTTATTAAGTACAACTTTGCCATGTTCCTACTTTGTACTAGGCAGTTTGTTAAGTGATTAACAGAGACTTTCAAATTCAAATAGCCCACTAATGCATGTATTATTCTATTTAAAGAGAAAATGAGCCTTGACATATACCTGAACTTGGAACACTTGGAATATAAAAGTTCAACTCATTTGCCTGGGAATAGGCCCAACTCTTATATTCCAAGCTTTCTGAGGACCATGATGATGATAGGATTTACCTGAGCACTTTCCTCCATCACTTGGCCTCATTCTTTTCTACCAGCTTCCCCTTCTACCAGCTTCTTCAGACTTCCCTGGAGCAATTCTTCAATAAATCACTTGGAGAAGATTCTCATTAATGGGAGAACTGGCTTAGGACATGAGCCATAAAACACATTCTTATCAGTTACAAGACTAAAGAAAGGACAGTGATCCAACTTGTTCAAAAACACTTGATCATTAAGAATAAGAATCCACACTGAAACTGATCTGGATCCTTTTCAAAGGCATGCAAGTTAGAAATAAAACATAAGGAAATGTGAAAATACAAAGTTATATGCATCAATACATAATGAAATTGACTAATGTATACACAGGGATGTGTTTTCATGAGACCTCTTTGAACATTTAACAGGTTGACAGAATGAATATTAGGAAGCTGAAACATGTCTGATAGGGATGGGTGTTAAGATGATAGGGGCGAATAAACAAAGAGCAATGATGGGTGAATACATTTATAATACATAATACAGATGTAAAAATACAACTAAGAACAATAAATGAGCAGAGAAGGGATAGATGGGGAGGGAGTAGGGAGTATGATAAAAGGGATGACTCATCAAGATGCTCTATACTTATAAACTGATTTCTTGAATGGAAACCCATTTGTACAACTACTTAAAGAAAAAAATTAAAAGATGCACATTCTTTTTGTTTTATGGCCTCCAGGAAAGTTAAATAAATCCAAATTACTTCTTTAGTATTGACATAGGGCTGTTGAACCTTAACTTAGTTAGTTTCTATGGGGTCTGTCACTATTTTAGACTGCTGCAAAGGGCTGCTTTTTTTTTCCCCAGGGTTTTTTTTTTTTTTGGTTGTTTTTGTAAAATACCACAGGGAACAGTGTTCCATACATGCACTGGAAAATCATGGTTAATGATTCTCGTTTATTTGTTCAGATGTCGCATTTAATAAAACCACACAATTGCTTAAAGACTTAATAGACTGAAAATGTATAATTTGTAATGATAGTTATGTTGGGTACAAAAGACTTCACATTTTCAAGGGCTAACTAGATGGTTGGGTTTTTTTTTGTCATTTGAGTGAACATTTTATTTGAACATTGAGTCTTTCTCAAATACCTTTTATGTTCTTTCCCCCATAAATAGATAAATTTATATGTCTGCATAGATATTTAGCACTTTCCTGAAAATAAATCATTTTCCTTTAATACTAGCCCTGCAATAAAGTGAGAAAAAAAATACCATATACTATAGCTATTTAGCACTTTTCTGAAAATTATACACCATTTTTACTATCAGCTCTGAAATAAAGGAAAAAAAGTTATTTCATGAACACTTACGAAGATTGGTTCCAAGTTTTTCAAATAGGCTGCAAAAACAATTTTGATTTGAAGAAACCGAAATAAATTTTTGGCATTATGAATAAGTTAGTACTAGTTTGTCAATATATTCTTGTTAAGATTTTGGACTGCTTATTTGAAATTCTGACTTAACTACATAAGAAAAATAATGTGCAGGGCTGGGAAGGTAGCTTAGCGGTAGAGTGCATGCCTTGAAAAATAATGTGCATCAAATTTTCTAGGCATTCTGTTCCTTTCTGCTGTAGCTAGTCATGATAGTCCCTGGCTCATGACTGGAAAGATTGAAATGATGTTCATAAAGTATTTAGGTTATATTTTGTGTCTTTTTATTTCTTAAGACCCTAAAGATTAATGCCTTTTTGTTGAACTGTACTACTCACTTTTTTTTTAAACAGGCCTTTTTCTTTAGTATTTTAACTGATTGCAAGCTTACTTTAATCTGTAATTTAGTACCTTTGATAATTAGTATATTTGAAGGCTTTGGATTTACTGGATATTCCTTGATTATTGTTTATAAGGGGAGCTTACTGTTTGAAAAAAAAAAAAGATTTAATTCTCATTCACATTAAAACGTTTACAAAGTATTGTCCTTGAATTGAGAGGAGAACAGACCTACATGAGTTATCCCACATTTTAGAGCTTCAGAAAGTAAAATGTTAGTACTGGAAAAAATCAATTTAAAGTAAGCCATCAGAGACTTACCACTAAAATTTCAACCTGGAAGGAGCTTGCTTCTAATTATGTTTTGAGAAGTAAGCTTTTAATAGAAAGAAATACATTGCCATTTTCTTAATGTGTTCCTGATGTTTTATCCATTGAATTACAGGATCCATGACAGAATTCCATCCAACATTATTATTGTGGCACAAAGCACAAACAAGGAAAAAATCAACTTCAGCTGTTTCAGTGAAAAATGTAAAAGTGTGATAGGATGGAAAGAATGCCCTCAACCATTTTTTGTTAATTTAGACAAAAATAAATAAAAATACTAACTTACTTTTTTTCCATGTCACTTTTGTATTTGTATGTATGCTGGTCCTGGGATTTGAACTCAGGGCTTGGTGCTGTTGCTGAACTTTTGTTCTCAAGGCTATTACTTCAGCAACAGCCCTACTTCCAAGTTTTTGGTAGTTAGTTGGAGAAAAGAATTTCATGGATTTTCCTGCCTAGGCTGGCTTTGAACTGCAGTCCTTAGATCTCAGCCTCCTAAGTGGTTACAGGTATGAGCCACTGGCACCTGACAATTTTTTTTTAAAGACAGTACATGAACACTTATATCTCATAGTTTCATGTTTAATAATGACATTTTTGGTGACTACTTAGTTATATGTTATAAAGGGGAAGGACTTCATTATGTTGTCTCTAAATTTTTCTATATTGAGATCATTTAGTCAGTAAGTCCATGTTTTATATCAAAATATAGGTTACTATACATACACACATAATTTTGTGGAATATATATGTATATATATGTATACTGTTTTCAATATTGGGGTTTGAACTCAGGGCCTCACACACTGAACCATTCCCTAATTTGTGTTTTGGACTTAGTGAGTTAGAATGAAAATGTACAGCAAAGAAACTTTGTATATTAATTTTCTCTGGCATTTGATATTCATGAATGTTTGTTTCTTCTTGTATTCTAGTTACTTTTTGTATAACTAGAAAATAGAAATGTGAATATTTTTTCACACTGAAATTCTTTATTTTGACCATTGATAGATTAATAAGATCTTTGAAGTATTTTCACAGTCAAATGGAAAGGATTTGGTATTGCATTTAAGCAGCTTCTTTTATCTCTTTAATCTGAAATTTTTGTATTGTTCTAAATTCACATCAACAACATTCCGTCTCCTTTTATTGAATAGAACATTGTTAAAGCCCCTGTTCTAGATAGCAAAGGGCAAAAGAGGTGCTAATACCATCCTTAATATCCTGTAGCTGGTAGGATAGAGAATCATAAGGTATTATGTAATTGGCAAATTACTTTGCTGCACATTTTTTTTTCCGAGTACTAGAGATTTGAAATCTTAGCTTTGTGCTTGCTAAGCAAGTGTTCTACCATCAAGACACACTTCCAGCTCAGCAAATTATTTTGAAATAATAACTTAGTAAAAACACTAATTCTGAAATATAGTACCTTGACGGTACTAACTTACTACAACTGATTTTTATTATATACAAGACTTTTATTTAATTATGGTATTCTGTGTTTGTAGTATGTCTCTGACAACTTGTTTTGTTTTGTTTTGTCAGTCATGGGACTTGAACTCTGGGCCTGAGCACTGTCCCTCAACTTTTCAGCTCAAGGCTAGCGCCCTATCACTTGAGCCACGGCACCACTTCTGGTTTTCTGGTGGTTTATTGGAGATCAGCGTTTCACGGCCTCTCCTGCCCAGGCTGGCTTTGAACCACGATTCTTAGATCTCAGCCTCCTGAATAGCTAGAATTACAGGCATGAGCCACTATGACAATGTTTTTTTAGTAAGCTGCTGAAATGACTGAAATCTAAACACAAATTAGAAATGGATTGTTTCTGTGTATTAAATTACACTTTTTTAAAAAAAATTTAGATGATGGAGTCATTGTAGAAGATGGGAAAACAAAGAAAACTCAGAAGGATGATGAAGAACAAATTGCTAAATACAGGCAGCTCTTGCAGGTTATTCAAGACAAAGAAAAGAAAGGCAAAGAAAATGATATGGAAATGGAAATTAAGTGGGTTCCAGGTAAGAAATATTTAAAGAAATGTTTTCTTTACTTGATGATGTTGAAGGTATTTTTTTATATAAAGGTAAAAAATTAAGGCTGCTTTGGATATATAAATTTATTTTTCTTTTTCAGAAATGTTTTGATTAAATTAACATAGTACTTCACTTCACAGGTAGTGTGTTAGACTCGGCAATTTACTATTTTTTAATTCAATTTTTTAATTAAATGATCCAATAATAAATAGAATTTGTTTGCCTTAATTACAGTAATACTGTGCCATATAAAGAGAGAGAAAGATGTCTCAAAATGTTGTGTGAAACAACAGAAGGACTCTAAGAATACTTTTCATCCAGCTGGTCCCATCATCACTGTATTACTCTTTTCCCAATATTTTCTTTCTTTGCAATGCTTATTTCTTTTAATCCAGTTTACTCTTGATTAGCTAGCAACTACAAATATTCTATCCACTTATGAAAGTATTTAATTCCTGAATTCTTAGAGAGAGTTGAATCCAGGCACAGTGTGTTTCTTTACTCCCATAGTTACTTCTTGTTTTTAATTCATGAGATTTCACTAACACAAACAAAATATGAATTATATGGTCTTCCATCTCAGTTTTGCTGTAAATAGTCAAAGAAATGTGGTATAGTACTTAGAAAAAGGTTAATTTAAAAAGTGTCAAAGATTAACAAAGAGTAAAGATAGAGGAATTGTTTTAAGGCATACACAATAATTTTTCCAACAGTCCTTGGCAAATCAGCATATGCTTTAATAAACAGGACTGTTTCTGAAGATTATTGCTCTTTACATCCAGTTGTCCCTTTCTATCCTTGGGGAATTGGTTCTGGGAACCCTCCTACTTTCTCTGTATACCAAAACAGACACTTGAATGCTTTAAACAAAGTGACTTTCTTTTTGCATATAACTTATATGCCTCCTCTTATATAATTAAAATCATCTGTAGATTACTTGTAATATCTTCTACAATGTAAAGGCTGTGCACATAGTGGTCTGCATATTAAGTACAGGTGTAAGGTGGTATTTTGTTTATTTCTTTTTTAAAAAAATTTATTATTAGAAAGTTGATGCACAGAGAGGTTACAGTTACATAAGTCAGATAAAAGGTACATTTCTTTTTGGACATTGTCACCCCAGGGTGGTTTTTCATTCTGTGTGTTAATCCACAGTTTGTAGCATCTGTGGATATTGAATCCTTGGATACAAATTTTTGTTCCTGTGTTAGTGAGGAGTTTTGATCTGTAGTTTTATTGTAATGTTCTATTATGACATCCATGAATTGGAAATTGTTCTTTCTATTTAACAGGACATTTTGTCTTAACTTTTTTTTTGTTCTTTGTTCAGGGTTTCTTGTTAGTTGTTACTATGAGGTTTGAACACAGCCTTATGCTTGAGCCTTGCCTCTAGCCCTTTTTTGCTCTAACTATTTTGAAAATAGACTCAACCAGGTGCCGATAATTCACAACTGTTAATCCTAGTTATTCAAGAGGCTGAAATCTGAAGATCATGGTTCAAAGCCAGCCTGAGCTAGAAAGTCCATTTATATTTAATTACCACCACAAAAGCCAGAAGTAGAGCTGTCACTTATGTCATAGAGCACTGGCATTGAGTACCCAAGCTCTTAAGTTCAAACACCAGGACCCACACAAGAAAAAAAAAGTCCTGAGTTTTAGCCCAGGGTTGGCCTGAGGTTGCAGTCCTCTTACCTATTACTTCCCGTGTAGCCGGGATGACAGGTGTATGCCAAGATAGGGTTCCTACTCACTTTTTGCCCAGGCTGACCTTAAATTCTAATCCTTCCAATCTCCCATTTCCTAAGTAGCTAGGATTATAGGGTAATCCATCATGCTCAGCATCTTATTTTGACTTTTTAACTTGTGGTTGTAATGTTACTATTACATATAATACTTTGAAATGAAAAATTATTACTTGTAATTTCACTATTTATGTTCTACCACTGCTTTGGTAGATTGTGGTTTTATTTGCCATTTCTCTATTGTTGAATATTTAACCATATTTTAGTCTTTACTACAGTAGATTCATGGCATTAAAAACAAATAGTTTCCAAACCCACAAATATCAGTCCTTTCTTAGATCTGTTCACTTTTATCCTTAGCCAAATAATTGGCTGGCTTTTGGGGGGCCTTTTAACTTAAACTATTTTTGAACAAAAATGTCCTCCCATTTTAAAAGTACTTTTATGTACTTGAGGACTAGTAGAGTGCAACCACGCCACAGGGAGCAGCAGAAAGATACATGGCAGTCAGGACTACTACTATTATGTAACTTTATCACAAAGTAACCTCACATATGCAGTGGTTCAACCTGTGATTGGTACATCAGTTAAAAACCACCAGTGTCCCTGGGTACTAGTGGCTCACACCTATAATCCTAGCTACTCAGGAGGCTGAGATGTGTAGATGGCAGTTCAAAGCTAGACATGAAAGTCCATGAGACTCTTATCTCCAGTTACCAACCAGAAAACTGAAAGTGAAACTGTGGAGCACTAGCCTGGAGCAAAAAGACTTCAGCAATAGTGCCCACGCTATTGAACTCATAACTTAGGTTATGAGTTCAAGCCCCAGGACCAAAAAAACCAAAAAACAGTGTCAACAACTCAGTTGTTAAATCTCACATGACAGGTGTCTCAAATACTATAAATAAGTGCCTAGGATGCATTTTCTATGTCTTGAGTTATTTTTATAGGATACCTTCCCAGAAATAGAAATACTAAGAAAAGGCATGAATACTTTTTTGTATCTTGAAGTTTTTGTCAAATTTCTTTTCCAAAAATGTGATACCAACTTAATGATGTCTTTAGTAGTTACCACTTTGCAAAATTATCATCACTATTGGTATATATTTTTTATTTTTTTAATTAAGTTTATTGTGAAAACTTTTTTAATTAAGTATTTTATTGTGAAAATACTGTACAAAGGAATTACAGTTATCAGAGCAAGGTAATGAGTATATTTCTTATCCAGCTTTGTTGCCTCCTCCTTTGTTTTTCCCCTACCATCCCTTCCCTCCCACTATTTTTTACTTTTTTTTTTTTTTTTGTCGGTTGTGGGGCTTGAACTCTGGGCCTGGGCGCTGTCCCTCAGCTCTTCAGCTCAAGGCGAGCGCTCTACCACTTGAGCTACAGCGCCACTTCCGGTTTTCTGGTGGTTTATTGGAGATAGGAGTCTCACGGTCTCTCCTGCCTGGGCTGGCTTTGAACCGCGATCCTCAGATCTCAGCCTCCTGAGTAGCTAGGATTACAGGCGTGAGCCACCAGCGCCCGGCTATTTTTTACTTTTTTTTAAGTGGAGAAAAATTTGTTTTCTCAATAGAGAGGTGAACACCTCAATTTAAAATTACATTTTGAACATCCTAAACTGTCCTGTTTTTGAAGGGCCCTAATGGGGCCTGTGAACTCGTTATGTATGTGCACATATCTCCATGTGAATGATATTCTATATGTTAGATGACTAATTTTTCTGAATGTCAGCTTACTCATTTCGAAAGTGAGAGTAATAGTGCCTTTCTTCCGTTAGTTTGAGATGTATATAAAGATGTCTTATAAATTGCAATATTATTCATGTCATGTGTATGTTGTAGTAGATTTATGTCTTAAGAAATGTGTTTTCAGTAGCAATTACCCTGAACCGCTGAACTTTTCTGATGTTATACTTCCATAAACCACAGAGGGCCAGTATGGGTTCATATATATCAGTCATTGGTTCTATTACTTGAATCTCCAAAACTTTTCAGAAAAGCAAGGCCACTAAAATCACTCATACTTTCTTTGGGTTTTTTTGTTGTTGTTTTTCGGTCTTGGGGCTTGAACCCTGGGCTTGGGCGCTGTCCTTGGCGCTCTTCAGCTCAAGGAGAGCACTCTACCGCTTGAGCCACAGCACCACTTCCCACTCATACTTTCTTGAATATGGTTTGGCTTGATTTTTTTTAGAAGGACTTTTAATTTGTACTATTTAAGCTTCTCTTTTTCATTAGATTTTATACTATAATAACCTTGGCATTAAATCCTTTAAGTGTAAAGTACTAAGGGAGGTAGATAACAAATAAACAATGGTTTACACATGTAGTAACTGAAATAATATGCCTTCTATTGGTATTTATTTCCCACGAAATTGTTAAGTAGGATAATAAATAACTATAAGTATTAATTATAAGATCTTAAAATATAAGGCTGGTTTTGGTTTTGTTTTTTGTTTTTTCTAATGCTGGTACAGAGGTTTGAACTCAGGGCCTGGGAACTGGTTTGTTCAAGGCTAGATAGTGCTCTACCAGTTCAGTCACAGCTCCAGCTCCAGCTTTTTGGTGGCTAATTGGAGATCAGAGTTTCATGGGTTTTCCTGCCTAGGCTAGCTTCAAATCACAATCCTCAGATCTCTTCCTCCTGAGTAGCTAGAATTACAGGTTTGAGCCACCTGGGCCCAGCTTCATATATAAGTTCGATATTATAGGTATGTTGCTAGTTATTCTTCCTGACTCATTCTGATTAGTAAACAGCATATAATTAGTATATTAGGTTTTTGTGAATAAAATGTGTCTTGTGAGGGTATTTGCAATATACACGGAGGTGAGGAATTAACAGTTCCTTATATTGTAATACAACGAATATGTACAATACATCAGTCATCTCCTACCAAGGATACAAGGAAGGTAGTGTCCCAAAGGAAGACCAGGTTTTGTGAGAGTCAAATTAATAGGCAAGAAGATAAATGACTTTTGTTAATGACCTATTTATGGCTGATCGTGACTCCTAATTTGTAGAAAGGATTCATTTGGGCTGGGCGCTGGTGGCTCACGCCTGTAATCCTAGCTATTCAGGAGGCTGAGATCTGAGGATGGCGGTTCAAAGCCAGCCCGGGCAGGAGAGACCGTGAGACTCCTATCTCCAATAAACCACCAGAAAACCGGAAGTGGCGCTGTAGCTCAAGTGGTAGAGCACTCACCTTGAGCTGAAGAGCTGAGGGACAGCGCCCAGGCCCAGAGT